CGTCCATGCTTTCAACACTTATACATTTCTAATACGGGCCATAAATATTACAATATTACTAACCTTTCATCATTATTGTCATCATTATCATTCTCATCGTCTAATACTTCTAGATCAGTCATGTCAAGTGATAGAGACCAATCAGTTGGCCATATTCTTAACTGCTCCTTAGCAGCTTTGGTTATGGTGGATTTCCCAACCCATTTTAGTTCGTAGCGGCCCTCAGGAGTAGTACCCATGACTTCAAAAGGACCTTGGAATTCGTACTTTAATTTTCCTTGATGCATTTTGTCATCTCTGTGCATCAAGACAAAATCTCCCTTAGTGAACTTTGTGAAAATACCCTGCAAGTCCCATAAATTGTCTTACTTGCTTAACGGTAGTAGGAATGACAGAATTAACTAGTGCTTCAACTTTACGCACACCAGGACGTATGCCATCAGCTGATGTTTCTCTCCCCAAATAATCCAACGTATCTTTAAAAAAGTGGCACTTTTGAAGATTCAAGGAAAATCCGGCGTTTTGTAAGGCCTCAAAAACAAGCTCGAGTGATCGCAATGAATCTTTAATATTTTGGGACGGAATCAAGATGTCATCCAAATAAACCAAAGCTACATTGTCTTTCAAAAAACCTAATGCTTTATTTATAGCTTGCTGGAAAACGGCTGGAGCATTAGCTAAACCGAATGGCATCCGCAAATATTCGAAATGTCCATCCGGCGTAACAAAGGCTGTCTTTTCGATAGAGTCTTCTGTTATGGCTATCTGGTGAAATCCTGAAGACATATCTAATGAGGTAAATATACGTCCCGAACCAAGTCGGTCAAGCTGATCTTCTATGAGCGGTAGTGGAAATCGATTCTTTATTGTGTGGGCGTTAAGCTGACGATAGTCCACACACATTTGGTATGATCCCTCTTTCTTTCGTACCAGAATGATGGGACAAGCAAATGGTGAATCACTTTCCCTAACAATTTTGCGGGAAATCAATTCATCAACAATGTCTCGTACAGTTTCTTTCACTAACAGGCAAGCGATAAGGATTTCTATTTACAACAAAATCATCTTTTAAATTAATCTGAAATCTAGCATTATTCACTTCAGGTAAGTATCCATTGACAGGGAGCAACTTAGGAAACCGTGAAAGCAGCTTTAAAATATCATGGCGATATTCGTCTGATACATTTATTGAATCAACTAAGGTGTTTGTGATATCTGAAATACGAAAAACGCGAGGAATTTTATTGCGGACTACACGTGTTCCCGTTAGGTCCGTGATCGTTGATTGTTCAGGATCATTGTACATATTTCGACCGATTATAACATCATGTTCTAGAATATAATCTGGAACTACGTGAAATACTAAATCTGTAACAACATCGGATATTTCTAAAATCGCCTTAAACTCTTGGTCGATAGTGATGCTCCCGGCAAGTATTCCTCTTAGCATTAATTTGCATGAGGATACTTTATGAACAAATTTTGGTGAATGGCGTTTGGCTATAAGAGATATGTCCGCTCCAGTGTCAAATATTCCACGGTAATCTTTTCCATCAATCTTGAGCTTTTCCAGCGTCATGTCTTTGCCGGTACTACAAAAATTTACTTTTTTCCGTTTTCCAATATTCTGTCGTGTGAAATAGTTGCTAATATCATGGCCAGATTTCGCACAAAATGAACAATTAACTACTTTTGTATTTGTAGAAGTAGTGGCTACAACAGGTAAATTTGATTTTGAACTGCTTGGAGTAGAAAAGGTGCAATGTCGTTGAACGTGTCCTGATTTTCCACAACGATAGCACTTAACGTTAATAGGTGGCTTACGAAAATCTTGTAGTTCACGAGGATTTTCGCGAAAACGCTTCCTTGATGGCTCCCCTAAATCAGTGGGACAATTCGAACTTAAACGTTTTTCAACTTATAGCGGTTTGGTTAATGTTCCTAGAAATGTCAACAATTCCGAGATTTTTCTAAAGTTTAAGTTCGTAGCCGTAGTCTGTACGTCCCGCTTTTTGATTCCATGGATTATGAGTTCTACAAGGTCAGCTTCCTCCCAATTAGCCCTCAAATTTCTTAACATGCCTACCTTCTGGAAGACATAGGCGTCGTATGTGTTACATGAGTTTGTGTTGAATTCTGCGGCTTCTGAAAGTAAGCGACCCAAATTTTCTTGGGTGGAAAAGCTTCAGAAAAATCGCGCTGAAATCCTTCCCAACTTTTTATTTCTGGTAACCATACTTCAAACCACGTCTTTTAAACGCCTGTTAAGAACCGACCTACCTTAACTAAGGTCTGTTGATCAGTCCACTCAAATTAAGTTTTAATTTCTGATATTTCAGCTAACCGTCTTTTCGCGTCATTAACTTCGGGTTTAAAGAGCGGTAGATCGACTTGTTCCGGAGCTGTTTTTGAAGACTTGATAGCCTTCACCAGCCGAGATATCAGCTCCTCCATTCTTGCTAGTTTTCTTTAATGCAGAAAACAAAAATGATAATATTCTGATGTCTAACTAACCATAAATAGCTACTTTCGATTTTCAGCATGGATCAGTTCACTTATTAAACAAAAAAAATTAAAATAAAAAAAAAAACGAAAAAACGAAGAGAATAAAAATCTTATTATTGTCAAATTTTATTTAAATAATTTCATAAAATTTAAAATTTCTGTGATTAATTCAATTATTATTTACCTTTATTTTTTTATATAAGTGCTTCTACTTATTTTGGAATTTTAGAACAGTCAAAATAGACAAACAACTGTGGAATAAAAAAATTACAGATTCAGAAACGTTATACATTTCCAACCACTACAGCAATACAGCTGTTCATAAATTTTTTTTTAAGTATTTATTTAATAATTTTAAGATATAGCCCAAAAGAGCCATAATTACCAAAAAGATACGTTTAAGATGCCAAAATCTAGATTTCCTAATCAGAGAGAACTGATCCGAACTTTAAAACGAATATAAGAACCGTTGGATTATTTAACTAAACATTTGCGCAATATACAACATAAAAATAAATAAATTATAGCTGAAAATTTGTTCAAGCCATACAAACTTATACGTGGCAATTTAGTAATATAAATAATCGTGATTGTATTTTAATGTGTGATAAACTGCTTAATCAGACAAATCGTCTTAATAAAAAAAAACACATGTGTCTAAATAGCACAATAATCTAAAAAAAATAAGCGTTTATAGAAGAGCAAATAGGTTTTCAACCCAACAAACAACACCGTCATCGATAGTATTGCCACTCTACCGTCGATGTAATTCGATACTTTTTAAGTGCTACAGTTATTTTCTTTTCAAAAGCCATATTATCATTATTTAAAACAAATATAACGTTTTGTTTACATTTTTGTGTCGATCTAAAACACAAATGCGATCAACACCGACAAAATAAAATAAATCTCAGAAAAACTTATCACAATATTCACATTCACATTCATTAGGTACTTACGGTTATTTTTTGCAATTCGCAGAAAAAGCAGGCAACGAGTAGGTAATCCTCACTTCTGATGTTAGAATTAATAAAACGAAATATAAACTAAACAAGATTCTAATAACAAAAATACGGAATATAAATTTGATAAACACAAACGGCGTTTAACACGAGCGTGCAGAGGTATCATTCAAAACTGATCCCCGCACGACCGATAGCGGTCGATGCTTATCTATCAAAACGCTGACTCAGTCCAAAAATATACAGGACGTCGACAAATACAAATTATTTTATTGAATTAATTTAATAGTTTCTAACACTACCTTATAATATTTTTGAGCTTCCTGTGATACTTTGATATATACGTGGGAAAACAATTAAATATTTAAGTTACAAGTCAGTCCGGAAATACAGTTTAAACGGAAATCTATTTTATGTTTGTATTATTGAGAAAACAGATGATTGAGCACATCATTTAGTTACTGATCTGCTTTCTCGAATAATATATTTTTATTATTTCGTTCAATTCAGCGATCGATTTATTTTAAATAAATAAATTATTATTGTTAATTATTATTCCCAATTGCAAAACACGACCTAAGCACATTTTACATAAATAGAATATTTAACTGATATAGTAGTATATTCTGTATCGTGCAGTTGCTAGCTAGCAAGTGGATTAGACCAAGATCAGTCGTTATGTATCACTATGAACAAATCAGAATTATCTAAAGTAAAATCTGTAACAACTAGTGGTTATAAAAGTGAATCAAATATTGTTGGTGGTAAAGCATAACAACTAGTTGCTGAGAAAGAAATATGGACCTCTGGATATTAAATATTTAGATATATTAAGAAATTAAAAGGAAGTATGTTTATTTATAAGATAATTGGAACTTATCATATTTTTTTTCTAATGATTTATTTTAGGAATAAAATAGTACTTCAGCAAAGCCTAATTTTTATAACTTGTAATCTATATCAGTGAGGTGTATTCCCCTTACATTACTTAGGCCTCAATAGCTCCATTGTGCATCCTCCAGATGCTGCCTTTTAGGTGAAATGTCTATAGTTTATCAAAAGACCTACAGATCTGCTTAAGATAAAATTGAATAATAAATTTTGCTGCATTAAAAGTTTTTTTTTTTTAATATAAAAAGTCCCAAATGATATATTATTTCACCTAACGTCCATCACCGAAAGATACCAACCTTATTGGTTCCGTCATTTCTGACATAAAGGTTAAGTTGTTAAAAGCCTGATTTACACCACTCATATAACTTTATAGCAACCGTGAATACTAGAATAGCTACTTTTGTGAAAGTTGTTATACGGTTTCCTCAACGAGGAAAGTAATGATTATGTTATGCAGATGAAATCATGGAGAGACCAGCCTGGATTTGGTTTATTTAAAATACAGTGACGTGTGTAACACTAGAGGCCTTACTACATATATGTTCTATATGGACATGGTTCGTTGTAGAATACAATAAAATGGAAAACTTTGTTCGTTAATATTAGATAATTAAGTTATATTTAAATAAGTAAACTTACTTTAAAATAGCAGTGAGGATAATCTATAACTGGACCTTCATCGTCGATATTTTTAATACTCAAATGAACCACGGTGGGCATTTCTTCTAAAGAAAGTGTTATAATTTTAAATACATATTTTCGATCATTTGGTTTCTCGTAATCGAACGATTGTGAGGCATAAAATATACAGTTTTTTATCTCATATTTAAAATTTTTGTTGTTTTTGAAAACGATACAAAGATCGGAACCTGTAAAAATAAAATCAAAATAGTATATTGTGCAATAAGTACTATTCCACACAAAAAAATTTTCCTGCACAAGTGGCACATATTAATTTTTCTGCGACCACAAAAAATAAAGCCCACATCACACCTTTTTTTAAATAATTTGTTATATAAACATAGCTTTTAAATTTAATTTTAAATATACTTATTCCAGAAATTTAAATTTACGATATTACAATTAGAAATAATGATAGTTGGTAAATTATATATTTTTTTAAATTGATTGGTATATTCACTTTTATTTTGGAACAACTAACATTAGGAAATTATGCGTTTTTTTATTCTTACCAATGGTTAGGTATATAATTTTTTCAGTACGATAAACAGTGTGAAATGATAGTGTTGAATAATATTTTCGGACTAACTATACAGGGTGATCCATTAGTGTGAAAAAGTCGAATATCTCCGCCTTTATTAGAAATAAAAAAAAAATATTTCCACAGAACGGCAGACAGCATTAAACTACATATTTTAAAATTATTTTTGAATATACAGGGTTTTTAATAACTTCCCTCTGGAACCAACTTATGTTCTTTTTAATAGATCACCCTGTATTTAATAAGGTACATAATTTTTTCAATTTTTTTAAATGGTTCACCCTTGTATTTTATATCATCGTTTAAAAGTATTCTAATTATACTTTAATTTGACTTAAGCATTCCCTATACCAAAAGTTAATAGTTTTTAGAGATTTTAAATTATTTTAGTGGTAAAATTGATAGAAAGTTTTTTGGTGCAATATTTGTTTGATGCGTAAAATAACCACCATCGTGTTAAGGAAGTAAATCCACATAAATTGAATATCCACAAAGCCGTGTTTGGTAAATAATATTTAAAAATTATAGTGCTAGAAAACTGATCAACGTAAACTAAAATAGCAAACCATAGAAGGTTTGTAATTACCAAAATTTATCCGTTCGTCATCGCTGAACTCTTCAAACATTTCTCTAACTGCCCCTTGTTTTGGTTTTGTTCTACATTTCTAATGTTCTGCCCCAAAGTTAAGGCCTTTATTGTAAAAGACTCACTAATAAGTCTACATCTATTTCTGGAGACGTCATAGTAGCACACCGGTACATGGACACTGATATTCAAACGACACCAAATAATACAGTAATTGACAAAATTGACACCGTGAGAATATTTAGAAGAGACTGGAATAGTGGACAGGCGCCGGGCGATCGTCCGGGTCGTGTGTTCACTTTCATTTTTTACAATACCTTGCTACCTGTCTTTCCAGACAAACCCGGTTCAGGCGAGTAGAGAATACCTGGGAGAACAACCGGACCTTTTTGCGCCAGGTTTAAGCGTTTGCCCGGCTGGGTATAGTGTTGCCATGCCTCCGGCGTTACTTGCTATTATCTTTTATCCCCTCTAAATTATTTTTTTTTATTTTTCCCCCTTTATCTGTACTCCCTCTTCGATCTCCTTATCTTTACTTTCTCCCTATTTTTATCCTGTTACTTGCTTCCAACTTTTATCCCGTCCCTATCCTTTTCATTACCCTAATTTATCCCCTTTTGTCAACTTCTGACTATCAGATTTCCGTTCTGGCTCAACTCTTAGGTCTCGGCGGTCGCTTCCAAGGTCGAAAACTTTTACCAACTCTGCTGCATCGGAAAGGGCCCAAAATGGACCCTAAAACTGGCTTCCCGCCAATATCTTCCACAATATGCAAATTAGAGAATTTTTGTTTAAATAAAAAAGAAAGAATTTATCATTATCTACAAAAATGTGCCTATCATTTTTGTCGGGAATTCGACAGGTTTCGAGATAACCGCAATCAAAAGTCCCTCGTTCAGCCCCTGCTTTATCTCTATAGCAATGCTGATTAGCTTGTAAACGGGTGGACAAATTGTTTCAGAACTCGGTCAAAAATTGATATTTTTCGATGATTCAAAGTTCATTACAATGGGAAAACCCATAGGTATCGATCTATGTGCCTTGAAGCCCGTTATTTCCTGTCAAGAACATTGAAAAAGGGGTCAAAGTTGCGTTTTCCTACTATTTTCGAACACTTTATAGTAATTCATTCATATTTTTTTTCTTTTAATAATTTTTTATCCCATTTTTGTTTTAAATGGGATCTTGAGATGTCTTGAATGATCTCAAAAATTTTTTTCCAGTATCTTCCTGGCGTTTTAAATCAAAATTTATTTGTTTATTTGCATTTTTCATATGTTTTCGGATTTCTAGAAATCTTTGAAACAAGCAGTAATTAAAAACTCAAATTTCATTATATTGTTATTCAATGCACACCCTTTTAAAGCTTAGAGTGTCTACTTTTCGAATGTATTTTTTTTTTAATAAAGTTTTCCAGATATCGGGAAAATTGATCACACCGGGGAAAACCGGACTTTTTTTTAAATACTTCTTGTTCCCCGCTGTTCATTTTTTGAACATTAATACCCAGACCGAAATAAAGCTGGTATTCTCACCTTTCCATTTCTATCAATTGATCCCCGTATGTGAGCGTGGTTCTTAATTGTTTGTTAGAATTATCTTCCCCATTTTTACGCTCTCCGCCTGAGATCCATGATATTCCATCATAACCTAACCACGTGTACCTACGCGCCACGCGCTCACCTTAATCGTCTGCTTTTGTTAGTATACAATCTCTGTTGTTTTTGGAGTCGTTATTGTCGGTTGTTATATATTTCTTTCGTATATTTAAAGAAAATTTACAATTCTGGGTTCGAGTAGTACAATAATAAACAATGATTACTTTTCTTTTCTATATTTAACACAAATGAGTTAAAGAAAGATCGATTGGTGCCCGGATTTCCATTCATAGGCCCCATAATTTAGTGAGCAGAGGTATGCCGCTCGCGCCATCTACAATTGGTCTCCAAAGTTCAAAACATGAAAATCAATGTATTCCCAACTCCCTCGAGCGTAAATTCAATGAGAAACTAACATTTCTATTCAGTGCAAAAATTCGGGCTTATTCGAAGACCGTTTTTGCCAAAAATTTTCGTCTTGCGAAAAAAATGGTAGGAACCATTTTTTTAGATAATGATACAATCTTCATTTTTTATCTAAACAAAAATTGTCTAATTTGTATATTTTGGCAGATATTAGCGGGAAACCATTTTTTTGGACTTTAGGGGCCATTTTGAGCCCTTTTCGACCCAGCAGTGTTGGTAAAAGTTTTCGCCCTTGAAATCAACCGTCAAGACCTATGAATTGAGCCACAAAGGAAATCTGGACTGAATTAATGACAGCTTTGCATATTTTTAGGTCTTCAGTTACTGAACTACAATAACAGACAATCATGTGATATGGCTCACATCTAACGTAACACAACACTTTCCTTTTTCCTCCTTATATCACTCTCCATTCTTCAAACTCCTCTTACCATGGTTGCTCATAGAACTGATTCCTGGTAGTCTTATAATTTATTTTATTAGATAGTTCCTTTTCTAATATACCAGAAATCGATTATATTAACACTTACTCACCCCTTCCTCCTTCAATAACTCTCTACCCTTTTCATCACCCTAATTTATCTCCTTTTGTCAACTTCTGGCTCTCTTAACAATTTTTTTATTGATTTTGTACTTTTGTGCCAATAACAGACAATCATGTGATATGGCGCACATCTAAGGTAACACAACACTTTCCTTTTTCCTCTTCATATCACCCTCCATTTTTCAAACTCCTCTTACCATGGTTGCTCATAGAACTGATTCCTGGTAGTCTTATAATTTATTTTCTTAGATAGTTCCTTTGCTAATATACCAGGAATCGGTTATATTAACACTTACTCACCCCTTCCTCCTTTAACAACTTAAGTTAACTCCTTTCCATACCTTCCCCTACAATTTACTACCTTTCACTCTTTAACCTGAGCTTCTAGTTCAACCATAATTCCCTTGGTTTGTGTTTATTATTCTTAAAAATTTTTTCAATTACTACACTATCAAAGAATTTCTGGATATTTGATCTATTTATTTCTCTTTTTATGTAACAATTTTTATGAACCACTAATTTCTATAATTTTAATTTTCCATCTTGCTCTGTAACATATATTTTTAGGTCTGATAATGGTCCACAAAAGCTGAAACTGAGTTTTCTTTCCTTATAAAGGATTGTCACATTATAGAAAATAAATCATTTACTTGACTTAATACATATTACTAATTTTTGTTTTTCGATTAGGTATATGCTTTGATGATTAGGAACATAGTCATACTTACAATTTGTTGCTCCAATTATTTTAAATAGAGGTATTGGTGTTACATAAAAATTGTTATTTTCAATTAGTTGTATCCTGTATGAGCGTCTACGACGACTGAAATGAAGTTGGTTTTTGCTTTTCATGTCCATTAGATATATCGCAGAAGCAATTTCTGAAAGATTAAAAATTGTAAATAAACCTAATTATTACAAACGAATGTTCAATACAAATAGTCATTAAGTTGACTTTAGAAGATAACATACGTAATAAAAACAAATGCGTTTTTTAAATATATTAGTTGACACTATTATTAGTGATTTATTTTTTTTTTGTTGATATAAACTTTGAAATAGTTTTCTTATAACTTATCGTTCTAATTCCCATAGGTATTTCACAGAGGTTAATTATACTAACTGCATGTTTTGTATATTTTTCTTATACTTACTTACCTCCTATTTTAACCTTTTCTATAAATCTACATATCGTGTCGTCAAGTTTTATATTTTATCTGCATTTTGTACTAGGTCCAGTGTTTATTTATACATATTTACACATTTTTATTTACACATATTTATACATATTTTGCTAGTGATATATCTACATATTCATTATACACTAATAAAAGTGTATAGTTTATACCTAAAGTTGATTTTTGTGCATATCGAGTAAATTTTTTTTTTAAAAAGTTTCGTTGATATTGATAACGATTTATCTGAGGATCATGATAATAAAGTCATACCTAACGATAATAATGATTCTTCTGACAGTGAATAATATATTCTGTAATTTCCTTGATTTCCATACCGTTCCTTAATGAGTTAAAATATTACTAAATTTTTATATCTACTGTCAGGCCAGAATATTATGCTATGCTTTGTTTGCTATTACCTATACGACCAAGTAATACCGTCTGTAGTCAATTTTTTCCTTTTACATCATTGAAATATTTATGAGTCAGACCAGACATTATCTTCTAATTTTTAACTGTCTGCTACTGCTTATTTTTTAAAGCAATACTGTCTATAATAGCTACTTTAATTTTTGGTCATAAGTATTCAGTTACTAATAGTATTTTTTTTATTAAAAATTTTTTACCTAATTTCCTAGTTAACACATAATTTTCTCTTTACATTTCTCTTTATTTGTTAGTATAATTTTGGATAAGTATTTGAAACTATCGAGTTTGCAATTACCAATTTAGGGGTATGTCCGAATTATATTAATAAATTTTGTTTTTTATTTTCTTTTCATTTGCTTGCTTAACACTGTATCTATCGGTTATTAATATGATCCTGTATAAGTTTTTGAAACTGAACTTACCTAAAATCATGGCTAAACAAATAGTCAAAACTAACAACGATTTACCAAAATCCATATTATGTTCGAATCACCGATTTATCAAAATGTGGAATTGGATTAATCTAGAACCAAAAATAAAATATATCCTAAACAATGGCACATCAATAGAAGAACTATAGTAGTTTGTGCAACAAGAGTTGATATGATGGCTATATCGCACGAAGAAGAAATTTGAGCACGACGCCGTAGGCGGAGTGCTTAATCATCTGAGTGCGATGTGGACAATCCATTCGAGTTGTGCAGTATATTTTTTCTACGACTAATGAAAATCTACAATATTATAAATTATTTTAGGTTATTATAAAATAATTTATGACTTTTACTAATTTATAAATTGAAATAAACAAGAAAAAAAAGAAAAAAAAATACTTCATTTTTCTCTATTTTAGATTTTAATTCGTGCCTTTCGTATGGAAGGCAAGAACCCTGACCACAGGACCACCTATGCGTTTTTTTTTTGCTTTTAAACTTGTAATTAAATTGACTTCATATAGTTTTATTTAAATTAACAAATTATTTATAATTGTAAACGAAATAAAAATGTAAATTCTATTATTTATCGATTCTACACCAGTATAACTCATTTTAACTAAAAAATATACTGACAATTAGTTTGACAGAATTGTCACTTATTTAAAATTTTAATAATAATAGCAGTCGGTTGATCAAAATATGTGTTCTCACTACCTAGAATGAATATGAAATATATTCGTTCAGTTGAAGGCAATAGCATACTTTTTCGTTTTGTAATCTGTGCGTAGATAAGCTAATATCCATGTGGGTGAAGAAAATAGTATATTACATTACGAGTGTAAATAATCACTTTTCACACAAGTGATATACAATATTTTTCTTACGACCACAAAATAATTTTATCAAAAAATGTTAAACTAGGTTATTATTATAATTAAAATGTATTTAAAAAAATAATCAACAATAATCGCATTTATTCAATTTTCATATTTTCTAAACAAAAAAAAATTAAAAAACAAAAATAAATAAAAAAGAACAAAAATAAATAAAAAAAAAAAACAAAAAAAAACTTGGTTTCGCCAGGATTTGAACGCGGTCGATCGTCAGGTCTCAAATGGCAAAGTTGATAAGTTTGACACTGTAACCATCTGAGCTAATAGGCCTTGCGTCAATTGAATGATCTAATCGGTTATGTGTTTAATCAGAATAAAAAGCAAACATATCTTAGTTATTTTAAAATTATTTTAATATTAATTGTTAAAGATAAATATCTAGGATCTAATTTACAACAATTTTAATAATTAAACAATTATATCGATTTTAGTAATAATACGGATATTTCATAGATCAAAATAGAAATAATGTGTTTGACATTTTTTGACAGCTGCTGCGGAAAGTAGCATATTCGTACACGGGTAAAAAGTAAATTCTTATTCATACGCGTGTGATATAGGGCACTCTCCATAGTATATAGTATGATATGTGTCACTTTCTTAAGTGGTCGTAGGAAAAAAATATTTCATTGTAAATAAGCATACATGTTTATTTACTGTTACTGTAAAATTGAGGATCGTTTCAAGCAGAATATTAGGATAATTATTTATAATATATTTTTCTATTAAACCATTTCTAGTCTCTTATGATTGTTTAGTCCTTCACTTGACAAAAAAACATAATTATTCCTACAAGAAAAACCAAACTATGGAATATATACCTGTCGTACATTTTATCCAGTTAGTTTGTATGTTTTTATCATCACATTTTATATTTGTTTATGTGTCAGTATCTGCTCCTTTGACATACGTTTTGTTAAATAAAGCCTATAGTTTGCAAAGGTTTATTTTAATAAAATTTATTTAACGAAACAAAAATGGATGAATACTTACGACCAGAGAGGTTTGTAGCAGATTCAAACACTCCAAATTCTGCAAAGTAATGGAAACTTTGGTTGGGATCTGTTCTTAGTTCCGAAAAGGGTCTTACTAACGAAGACAAACTAAAACTACTTTTTAGACCAGAGCATACTGGCGCATGCGTTTGCAAAATTGTTTTAATTCGTAATTTTTTTTTTAAATATCCGAAAGGCTTGCCTAATTATAAAAGTGTAAGATGACACTCGATATTTGTTGATGTTATTGTTTAAACAACGAAAAATTAATTAAGCCAGAAAAAATGCATTTTTGCAATGAATTAATTTTTTATATTCTTTAGAATATTTTGAATAAAGAAAGTCCTTACGCCCATCATCGTATCTTCAACCCTTTAACTGTTATGAATTTTTTAAAATCCAAAATTGACGAAAATTCTAATTTTCTTGAATTAAATAATATACCTTAAAATTTAAAATGCTATAATTTTAAATTTTTTACCGAATATTCAAACTATAATAAACAAAATTACCTAAATAAATTTTCAAAATTTTGTTTGTGGTTATGTTTTTTTACGTTATAACAATATGCTTCCTACGCGCGTGTACTTTTAGAGAGAAGTACTTCTATCTCACTTCTAACTCAATGTATAAGATGGGTAAGAGAAATACGCTAATGAAATCGAGCCGACTTCTAATGTACCTGAGTTTTCAAAAAAATGCCGAAGATCATTTTTCCTAGCACCTGTGGCAGAACCTGAAATTATTGAATTAATAAAATCTTTAAAGTCTAAAAAGGCTGCAGGGGTGGATGGTATAAAATCTGAAATCCAGAAAATATTGTACCAGTTATTGCTTCGCCTTTAGTTCATTTAATTAATTCAATTTTTACAACTTCTTGTATTGTGACGGTGATTTATAAGGTGTATTTTTTTTATTTTTATAAATAAATATAATTATTTGGTGCATAAATAACTGTCTTATATCAAGTATTCCTGCCTCTAAGAACAGAAGGTGGGAAGGGTATTTAAGTTTCTTTTTAAAAATTATTTTAAGAAACCCATTTCTTTTTTATGTAACAAAAGGCAGCTCCTCCCCAATTAATAATCAAATATCTTAACCTTGATTCGATCAGAGCAAAATAAATAGTTTTGAGATGACAAGGATCTATAATAATTAAAAATACCCAAATTTGTACAATAATGTCCTCAGAACTTTAACTACATTTTCAACATGATTATCAAATCTAAGGTGGCAATCTATATGTAGACCAAGGTACTTTACATTATTTTTAGCGGTAATGCCTACTTTAGAATTTGACCTCTCTACTGTTAATAAATCATAATCAGGTAATGTACTAATATTGTTAGAAAATGGCACAAAGTAAGTTTTTTCGAAGTTAACGGTGAGTAATTTATGACTAGATTGAATATATTTTTTAAATCAATTTCAGTTTTCTTTTTTAGATGTCTAGCTATTATTGGAGTAAACAATTACGAGCCCCTTCCCATTTCAGTTGGCCCACCGATTGATATTTTCATTATATAACGACAATAAGAAAGTATTAAAGATTACATGCTTTTTAAATCATAAATTGATTAACAATGCATCAATATACAATTATATTATAACCAGAACTAGAAAACATCAACTGTTTTACTTATTTTTATATTTATTTACACATGGAGCATTATTGCAATATTTCAACTAGAATTTAATTCTTTAGAAAATAAGCCAGAATTGAAGATACTCTTAGCTTTAAAAAAATAACAAACAATAATGCAGATAATTGTCACAAGACAATTTAACTTCTTTTAAGTTAATTCTGTCTAGTAAAATGGGTAGACGAAAAATCATTGACGAAAAATAGGTTTTCTTGTTATAAAACATTGCAATTCTGGAAAATCGAACTCGGAAATTGCAAATATATTAGGTTTATCACGATATAGTGTAAGAAATATAGTTAGAAGATACAAAACTACAGGTTCAATCAGCCCAAAGCCCCGTCATATTAGAAAAGGCAAGATTACAAATGCTGATAGACGAGCATTCAGAAGAAGTATTGAAACCAACAGTCGTGCTAAGTACCTTGAATTAAGTGCTCAGTGAAGTGATGCTCTTGGAAGACGAATTTCAAGATCTTCATGTCATAGGGATGCTTGCAAACTGGAATTTGTAAAGTAAGTTTATAATATTAGAAATAATAAAAAAATGGATTGAACACACTAAAACAATCAAATATGTTTGCTTTAAATTGACAATATTGTTACAGGTTAAAGAAAAACCACTACTAACTGCAAAACAAAAAAAAAAAGATTAAGAAGGGCAAAAGTCCATATGAGTTGGACTTATCATCAATGGGATGCAATACAATGGAGTGACTAGGCCCGATTCGAAGTTTGTGTTGGAGATAGTAGAAGTCGAGTTATTCGCAAAAAAACATGAAGCGTTCCATCTAGACTGTCCCAAAAGAAAAGTAAAATTTCCCGCATCGGTCATGGTCTGGGGCAGCATGTCATCGAAAGGAATAGGGAAACTGCATTTTATTGAAGGAATTGTAAATAGAAATCACTTTTACCGACTGTGGAATGATATTTGACATCAGGGTAAGATTTTGTATTTTAACAGGATGGAGCAGGATGTCACACGTCAAAAACGCCCTAAAATGGATGAAAGACTTAGGTATCCACTTTTGGAATGGGTTTCTAGTAGTCCTGATTTATCACCAATAGAAACATTGTGGAATGATTTATCGGGACGGTGGTGTAGCGGTCTATCGCGCTTATATTCATTTATAGGCAAGTTTATGAGTCTGAGACTGCTGGGTTTCGAATCCCAGACCAGACCATGTGAATTTTTAATTAAATGGCACCATCAATCATCTTTAAGTCGCCCCGGAGCGCCACGGCAAATAATAATAATAGCCGTCCCTTCCCCTACACAAGTCGTTAAGTCGACTTCAGGGGTTGAAATTCACTCGTAAGGGGGTGAATTAGGGAGATTATTATTATAAAAGGTACTTCGAAAATATCATGTAAGAACAATACCTGAACTTAAACAAAAACTTCAAGATATATGGGATTCTTTTACACCAGAATTTTGCCAAGGCTTAGTTAATACCATGCCGCAAATAATTTCAGCTGTAATAAAAAATAAAGGTGACGTTACCCAATGGT